GCATATGAGATACATACAACCTTGTAGCACAAACATTTGCAAACAATCTTTGTCCCTAAATAAGTCAGCTATAAAATGTAGTGAAGTTTAAACCACCATGAGCAAGCGCTACTAATTTAACAAGTGTTTTTAAAGAATTCTCAGAAATAATCTTGCCAAAGGATTCATCTAAGAAGGAATTTAGAATTATTGTTGTTATATTACATAAGGCAACTTTCACCAGAAAACAAAGTATCTCGTTTATCTTATAGGCAGCTCCTGGGGCTGCCCTTGTGGACAGAGATAGTGTGGCTTGTTCACTATACTATCTCTTGCATGTGGAAGGTATTCAATTAACACTTCTCAATAAAGTAACACATAGCTTTTTTTTACCAGAGCCTGTGCCCACACTTTCTAATCAAAAAGTTTGTATGGCCGAAACCGGCTTGGCTCGGTGGATAGAGCATCAGCCTGCGGACTGAAGGGTCCCCAGGTTCAATTTCAGTCAAGGGCATGTACATTGGTTGCGGGCACATCCCCAGTGGGGGATGTGCACGAGGAACTGATCGATGATTCTCTCACATCGATGTTTCTGACTCTCTGTCCTTCTCTCTTCCTCTCTGTAAAAATAATATATATATTTAAAAAACAGAGAGGGGGAAAAAAAGGTTGTATGGTGCCTTGGCCATTATGACTTAGTTGGTTGAGCTTCGTCCCGTTCATTGAGAGGTCACCAGATCAATGCCCAGGTTGCAGCAATCTCTAGTGGGAGACATGCAGGAGACAGCTTATCAATATTTCTCTCATCAATGTTTCTCTCTCCCTCTCCTTTTCTCTCTCTCTAAAATCAATAAAAACCTTTCTATAAAATAAAAAGGTAGTATGTTAATTAGACTGGACATCCTTCCAGACAGCTTATCAATATTTCTTTCTCATCAATGTTTCTCTCTCCCTCTCCTTTTCTCTAAAATCAATAAAAACCTTTCTATAAAATAAAAGGGTAGTATGCTAATTAGACCGTACGTCCTTTCAGACATCCTTCCTAACGAAGCTGGGGCCGGAGGGAAGCCAGCCCAGGTTCCAGGTGCTGGAGGGAAGCCGGTGCCAGCACCCAGGAGAAAGCAGGCCTCTAATGAAACGCCTGGATTGAAACACAGGTTTATACTATAAGGTATTAGTAATTTGCCCATTTTAAATGGCCACTGCACCTTCCAATAGGTGTTGATAAATAAGGTCTGATTACTAATCACAGTGACTTTGGGCCTGCCTGGAGTTTCACAGCATTGTGTTTACACAGAGCTTTTTTCCATAAGAAATAACTTTGGTTTCTCTGCCTGTTTCTAATCTTTAATGCGTTATTGCTGTTGAAAAGCAGTTGTTTCCAAAACCCTGGTAGCTCCAACTACTTATTTTGCATAAAGCAAGGGCAGAGTAGTGTTTATTGAAATTAACGTCCATTTTTAATTTTAGTTATAATTAACTTTCACACATTTCTTACGTAAATTTCAAATTCTGGCACTGCATATTCATCATATAATGAAAAATAAATTTTTACTTTAAAAGAATGCAAAAACACACAGAATTAATGAATTATGAACATTGTTAACTTGAAACAGAAATCATTCATTCATTAACATCATGTAAAATTCCTTCTGTTCCTCCGTCACTGATCAGCAGTGTCTCCTGCTGCAACTGCTGATGTCATGAACACTCAGCACCGGTACAACGTTCTATTCCCGTTAAATTCTTCCTGCTCCACTGAACATTGTGACATAATTGATTATATAACTCAAAGACTTACAAAGACCTAATCATGTAATCATGTCTGTAAACAAGTAGCAAAATGCCTTTTTAAATTACCTTAAACATCCTGAAATATAAGTCAATCACCTAAATCAGCGATGTACTTTAAGGATTTTAAAAACATGCAATACCTGACTACTCACTCAGGGGCATTCACCTCTTTTCCCTTCGGTTGTCAAATAAAAAAATGACAACAGCCAATACAATAGCTGTATGGTGTGAATGAATCAAAATCATACCTATTTTTTGTCAGATCAGCAAAAAAATATGTTTTTATGTGTACCACAGAATTTGTATAATTAGTTTATACGTGTTCCAAGATGAAAAAGGTTGAAAATTTCTCACTTGAGCACGTTTGGTGATTATTAAAACAAACATATATGAAAAACTCATTTTGATTTTAACGCATTCTTATTTCACATACAATCTTCAGCACCAAAATGTCACAGGAGTGCCACATTTTATTTGTATTGTTTTTTAATGATTTTGTTGTGTGTGTGTGTGTTTGTGTGTTTTAATAGATTTTATAGAGGAAGAGATAGAAACATTGATGAGAGAGAATCATCAACTGGTTGCCTCCTACACACCCTATATTGGGGGTCAACAGGAAACTTGGGCATGTGCCCTGACAGGGAATCAAACCAGTGACCTCAGTGCCTGGGATAATGCTCATCCACTGAGCCACACTAGCCAGACAGGAGTGCCTCATTTTAAATAAAGAGGCCCAAATTCCATTTAACAACTTAGAAGAAGGTTCTCTATTTTCTGAATGATATATTGACATAAAATTTTTCAAATTTTCCATAATTACCACCTCTGACAATTGAGGATCTTTGTTGAAAACAGAAAAATAAAATGAGTAGAGCTTTTATTCACTATAGTTTTCTTCTTAAAAGAAATATAATTACTACATAAATATCCCTTTAAGCTAAAGTTATATAATCTTTAAATTAATATGACAAAGATTTTTTTAAGTCCTTTCCAATTTCCCTAGACCAGTGGTTGGCAAACTGCGGCTTGAGAGCCATGGTTTGCCACTGTTGACTAATGAGTTCGCCGACCACTGCGTTAAGACCATTGCCACCGGTTTATGGTGATCAGCAGTTACTGTTCACCATAAGCTGTGTGTGGCCACACCAGTCACTTTTGAGTTTTGTAACACACACACACACACACACACACACACACACTCTCTCTCTCTCTCTGTCCATTTCTTTTCAGGTAACTCCGATGTTCCATTCGCCTGTCCATCTCCCAACAGCTCTACATTAGAGAATGAAGGATTCAGAAAAATTAAGTCCTTGTTCTGCAAGGTCTTAAATAAGCCTGAGAGCTCGGGCATGCCGGTTCCCACTGGGTGGAAGGGGCATGTGAAGAGCCATTGCTAAGGTCCGTGGGCAGATGACAGAGCTGGTAAATCCAATGTCTCGGGAGCTGGCATTGCTCCTAGAACAGAGCGGGACCCCTCAGGCTCACTTCTTAGGTGCCCATTTGCTTTAGGTTTTAAATTTTACACTTTGGCTTTTAAGGAATCAACTGGGAGGGATACCCTTGTTCATACCACTTCACCTTCAGTAGAGGAAACCCGGCTTTTGCTTGGACATTACCAGGAGATGGAACCTCAACCCACAATAGGAAAGACATCCCAACTCAGGGTGCTCTTCAAGTGGGAACTAGCTTCTTTAACTCCCATCTTTTCATCCTAAAGCTGCTTAGTGGGATTATGTATAGAATAAGGCTCATTCCCCACAGCTGGTGAATATTGGAAAATTAAGACTTTCATGGACTCCTAGAAATTTAAAGACACAGGTGAACTGAGAGACTATTTCTTTCAATATCCCACATCAGTCCTGAGAGGTGAAGCATTAGTCCAGGTCACACTAGTCTGAAGAACTAAGCTCTTGTCTCCCTTCACAATGGTCTCTCTACCCACACAGGCTGAAATAATGGAATGTCTATGTCCTTTTACTTCTATAGGCGAACCACTAGCACTGCCACTTTGTCCAACCCTTTTATCCTTCAAGATTTTACAAGGCAAACTGTTTTAACTTTAGCTAGAAATAGTTATGGGAATGATTGCAATCATGTTAACATTGTAATATGAAAACACTTGTTTATCAACATTTTATATGCTTTATTGAAAGTTGACAAGTGCAACAGTTAAATACAGTGACACCTTACAACTGTGTAGAGAACATGCACAGAAACATATGCATATAACTACTATACAGGTACTAGGCAGAACCCCCTACCGGGAAATTCATCTCTAGCTAAAACTGATCATTTTCCAAAGTATCCAACCAGCTCAATCAAAACACTTCAATGAACAGGAATTTACTTCAAGATATTCAGCAGCTATAAGATTTCAGATTACACAAAGTGACTAACTGGGCCAAATTCTTAAAATTTCTTTAGGTGTGGTTTTCTTCTCGTAGCATTTTTCATGTCATCTCTATAGACAGACAATCCACACCTCTTCAGACAGCCAATGAAACATCTAAATTTCAATCTGTACAACCTAAATAGTAGTCAGTCCTCTATGGTACAAAATAGTTATACTACATACACAAATATATAATAAGCAAAACATCCTTCATGTTAAGACAGCCTAGGTCCCAGCTACCTGTCACCTTTTAGTCACTCTAATAAGTTTTGTGTCATCCACTGTTCAGCAAGAGGCACACAGTGCAGTTGTTGGTTTTGATGGATTTTGGTGACAACGAACTGTTTCCCCTCATGTTAGAAGAGACTATGCACCAGTCTTTCCTTTTACCTCCCTTTCAGGTTCCTCGCGGGGAGAAGAGGAAGGACAGTCCAGGGGAGCTCCACCGCTCCGCAAGCCCGTGCCGTACCCTACGTGCGAGCAGGAGGACTCTTGGTGGTGAGGGCAGGGAGCAGGGAAGGGGTGGAAAGGCACACAGCTCCTCGGCATGAATTAGACCATTTCTCAAACATCTGCCAAGCTGCATGAGGTCCCAGTATATCCATGCTAATTCTCTCATTCACCTTTAATTCACCCCACTAAGAAACTTCTTCAAGCCAAAAGCACATGGGTGTTTAATACTGGAAACAAAAAGAGATAATGGCATATATCAGTCTCACGTCTCTTTCGCAGCGAGCAATGAAATGGGTGGTTGTGGAGATGGACTCCCCCTAGTACATCATCTCGGGTCTGTAGAGTTCAGAAGCAGCAGCCAGTTCTGCGGGGGGCGTAGGAGCTACGCGGTTGGTCCTGAGCCCTGGGAGGCCGGCTGGGCCGGGGGCTGCGTGGTCCCCTGCGGCTGCGTGGTGGCAGGCGGGGAGCCAGTCTGCAGCTGGGCCTGAAACTGGGCGAGCTGCTCAGGACTGGCCAGTGTCTTCAGCAAGTTGTTTTCCTGCTCCAGCTGGGAATTTTTCTCTATTAGTTCTTTGATTTGCTCTTTGAGGACCTCCACTTCCTCTCTAACCGCATACATCAAATGGCTTTTCACCAGATCCTGAAAGGGAGAGGAAAAAAGGGGTTTAACTTCCTACTTACTATTTCCCAGGCACTGTATTCTAAAGTATAATTTTGCCTGGTTCTCCCTAATAAATCACACAACCTGCCGTTATTGCTCATTTAATGGCAAGAGGAAAATCTACTGAATGCAATCACAACAGTACAATACTTTAAGTGTAATGTGTAACTGATGAACTTCTTAAGTCTATGCTCTTTTTGCAGCCCGTAGACAACAGCGCACAAACAACCACGTTCCCTCTGTGAGGCGGCAACATGCACAGGCTCCAGTCGCCAAGCAGGAGCCGCGCGGGGATGTCCAGGCGCCGGGCTCCCGGCAACGGCGGCCGCGTCCCCGCCCCCGGCCCCCTCCCGCCGGCGCCTCCAGCACCGGCTGCAGCCAGTTCCCGGGAGCTGCCGCCGCATTTTCCTCCCTCCGCCGGCCGGCCGGCCGCCCCCCTTTCCGTGATTAAGCTGACATCACAGAAACCTGGGCAGACGTTGCAGCCAATGAGAGCTCGATTTATTTATAGCTCCGAATTAAAAGGTTCAGAGTTTGCCTAGCAACAGTGGGCAGAGAATCCCGTGAGAAGAGCCACAGGCGCTGCTCCAATAACAAAGAACGGCCAAGGCGGAAATAAAAAAATAGGAGAAATCCAAGCGCCGGCTGGGAAGACAAAACTTTTTTCGGATTCGTTTTCATTGTGCAGCAACCTCTATCACTGGGTCCCTCTGTGCCCAGTCACTTCTGGGGGGTCCGCCCCACCCCGGCCGGGGTCCCCAGTAAACCTTGGGGTTCCCGGTAAGGCCACCTCCCCGGCGCTGTGCTCGCGGCGGCGGACACGCCGGGCCAGCGCTTCCCCAGCAAAGGCCCCGCGCCGGCCCCACGCGCCGGGGAGACCCCGGTACTCAGCGCCCCTCCTCCCCCCGAAGCAGCCCGGCTGGCGGCTGGCCCGGCGGAACGGAGGCGGTGCAGGCATCTCTGAATGTATGAAGAGCAGCCGTCACCTTAACACTGCATGCTCTGCTCCCATCCTCAGACATCTCGCTTTTTGTGCTGTGCCCACATTAGTACAAATGATTTTTAATCAGTACATACCATTGCTTGCTCGATTTTGTTGTCAATAGCTACCACACTTGCACCAGAGGAGCTGGAAAATAAAAATAAGGGGGGGGGGGGGATGAATAAATGGAATTATCTTAAACGTCCAACAAACACACAAAAAAGACTTCCAAATTCTGTGATGTTTCTAGCATCATTTTTGAAATATTCTTTAAGGCTATGGAACATATTATCCTCCAGAAAACATAAGTCACTCTCTTAATAACGAATACCCAGGCATTTCCCTATTTTAGTGAGCCACAAAGGGCTAAATTACATAATGAGCTAAAAGCTTGTTCCCTGGCCAGGCTGGCGAAAAGAAGGCCATTCTAAACATTGCAAAAAGCAGCATCCATGTCGCCAGGCTCTCAGCAATGGACAAAGGAATCTGCCTGGCTATCTTTCTTTCACCTGCATTACAAGTATCTCGAGCAAATAGAAAACACATATCCCAGCCGACATTTACCTATTGTCAAGTCTCACAGAGGCGTTTTCAGTCCCCAGCAAGGATGACAAGAAAGAAATTGAGAAATGTCTCAGTTGGTAAACTCCTAGATCCATCGCCACTGGTCTACACCATTGGGATTTCATGCAATTGCAGCCAAAAACACCCTCGCGGAAAAAATAAAATAAATAAAATAAAGGAGGGAGCCTCAGCAGCCTTGTCTGAGCTAGGTAAAAACCTCCTAGCTTTCTGCTGCCGGGGGAAATAGGAAACAGCTGCCTTAATTTACGGAGACCCGGCTGGTTCCCGGGCTGGGCGACCAGGGCAGAAGATGCCGATCACAATGCCGCGCTGAGCAGCCTCTGGGTCGGCGCCGGCTCCACTAGGACAGACCGGCTCCGGTCTCGGCGCAAAATATAGTCCGGGCAGCGCCGCGCCAATTGGCCGGCCCCGCCGAGCCGCCCCGCCCGCTCCCTCCCGCCCCGCCGCCGCCTTCCCCTCCCCCGCCCCAGCCTCCACCCGCTCCGCGGCTCGGGGGGCTGGCCCGGCCGCGCTCGCAGGGCCCGGCGCGGGGCTCCGAGACCCCCGCGGCCTCGAAAGGCCGGGCCACCGCCTCGGCAGCACGTCCAGAGTCCGGGAAAACACGCTCGGGGCCCCGCACGTGCTTACGGTTATGGAAGTCAGACCCCGTCCCCGGAGCTGCCGTCCCCGCGGCTGCAGATCGGCAAAAGCTTCCTATTTGCAACCAGAACCGCCCGAGCTACTGGGCATGCCCAGTCCCACCGCTCAGGCTAGCAGGAGCTCCGGTGTCTCCATTTCAATTATCTAGTTCTTACAGGCAGCAGTAACGGGAGGGTTTTATAGGCGGCTTTATTTATAAGATAATAACCCTACCGCAATAATACTTCTTTTTAAAAGCCAGTGAATTTTACACTTAAGCTTAGAGTGAAAAAAAAAAAAATCACATTTGCTTTTTGAGAAATACTATACCTTTCCGTGAATTTGTGACTTGTAGGAACAAAAGACTACATAGTCAGCTAGGCACATATATATATATTGAAGCAAAAAGTAATCTACAAAGTAAAATCTAGGGGATCCTCCCCAAATATCCCTAAAAGCCGGAAGCCTTAACATAGCCATCACTTCTTTATCCACTTATAGCTAGAAAAATCAATCTACAGGTTGAATCCTACTTAGATCTGTTTTCAGTAAGTTCCTAATGCAAATTTTGGGAGTTTAATGGCTATTTTTATAAGCTTAATCCTACAGAGGGGCTGAGGAACTGCAAAATATGTATCTCACCTTTTTGGCCACAATGACCAAATAATTCCCTTCTCCAAATTCAAATCAAGAGATCTAGTGTAAAATAGCTTAACCCGTTATATATTTCCTGTATTCACTTGAAAGATTTTCAGGGATGTATCATTTGAGGTAACAATAACACTGAAAATTAAAGACCTTAAATTTGCTTACTATAAATTGTAAAGTTTGCAACTCAATGCAGTTAAAAAGCAAACTTAACCTCGACAATACTGCCCTCTAATGGCATAATAGTATAAAACCAGAAACAAAAAACACTAGCTTTCTAATCCATGGACAAGTTGTGTCATCACAAATAATTCCAACATAAAATTTGACTATGGAATATGTTATAGACACACACACACACACACACACACACACACACACACACACACACACAATCTTGTCTTTTCTCTCTGAAACAAGCATTCTCCCTTAAGTAGCATCCTTTTAATTTAGAACACTAATTGTCATCAGAGCCTTTTAGACATTATTTTAAATTGACCCAATGCTGGCACAGGGAGGATTTGGTTTTAAAAATTTTACACAGTGATTAGGAACCAAATCTGGTGAATGAGGTTATGGAAAGGGCAACACTTTTCTTGATTAAAAACTAAAAAGTGATTGATTATAAAGCAATAACATTTAAAGGTTCATATTATTCTCCAAATTTCAAAGCTTTTTTTTTTCATAACAAAAAAAATTTGATAACATATTTATATTTTATAAAAATTAATATGTATACTATACTATCTCATGATAGAAATTTGAGGAAGGCATCCAGTTTTTAGTAAAAAACAAACAAACAAACAAACAAAAACAGTATGTGGAAGCTTAAAAATCATAATTTGAAGAACAGGCATATGGTCTCTATATCTATGAATGCTAGACAGAATTATTACCTACTACAAATAGTTTTTATATTTAAAGTTATCACTAAAACTATCTATAATTAAGTTTATTTACATATTTGAACTGCACAGAAAAAATTAAAGCATTATCTTAGGCTAGAGATTAACCAAAGAACATATATGCTAACCCATGGACAGACAATAGTGTGGTGAAGACCTGGGGGGGGGGCAATAGGGGGGAAAGGTGGACATCTGTAATACTTTCAACAATAAAAATACATTTAAAAGAATAGCAATTAAAAAGCTGGAAAAAACACACCTTAAAGTCATCTACAGAAATAAATTTAAAATTCCCAGCTGAAGTTTAAATTACTGAATTAACTGAATTTTATTTATTCATGATGTTCTTAAACACAAACAGAAATGTTTTGTTTTTCATTCATTTCAACTTATCTTCCATTGTATCAAGCTATAGAAGCCACAATACAAGCATATTTGACCCATATATCTTATAGTCATCTCCAATATTTTGCTATTCTAAATAAAATAGCAAGAAATGTCTTTGTATATACATCCTTGAACATTTTTGTATATACTTCTGGAATACTTACAGGGCCAAAGATATGCAACAGAAAGGATTAGAAACATATTTCTTTTCATATTTTTCAATAAATGTGCTAGATTCCTTTAAAAATAGATTTTTGTATGAAAACTAAAATGATACTTTTAAAAAGAAGGCAAAGAACTTGGAGGAATGCTCTATGGAGGAAAACCCCTAAGTCAGAAATTGCTGAAGCCCAGATGGCTAATTACTCTCAAAGATTCTTCTCTTTGCAAGACAACAACAAGACAAAACATCTGAGGCTAAAGCCCAGCCAGAGCTCAACAAAGGCCAGTGGAGAGGACAGGGGAACACTGCCATGCCTCCAGTGAGACTCCGGTGGGCATGGAGATAATAACCATCGTCGGCATTGGGCAGAGATCAGGTCTCACTCCAGTGAGGAATCTGGAGCACAGGAAACAGCCTGGGCATTGAAATTAGATGTTTTGTTGTTGTTATTGTATTTGTTTTTCTGTTCCTTTTTGCCTAAGAGCCTTTTCCCCTGGGTTCCAGTTTAATCACTTCTGCACATCAGTAGCATACATCCTAGGATATGAGAAGAGGAGCAAGGACAGGACCTGTGTGTTTCTAATTCAGTAACTGTGCTTTTTTTCCAAACTTGATCTGATTTGACTAGGTTAACAGTTTGGAATCCATCACTCAAAAAGGATAATCTACATCTCCCCTGTCCAAACTCCTTACAAATCTAAAGTGACTGCTAGAGAAGAGGCTAAAGCATATCACTCTGCACCTGACCAAATCACTGTTGTCTAGGACTGCAGGTCACATTCCTTTTCCTAGTTTATTCTCACTAGGCTCTGGGAATAGGGTTACCAGGTCTAGCAAATGAAATTATAGAATCCTGGGTTAAAGGTGACTTGCAGATAAACAACAAGTAATATTTTAGTGTCGGGTCCCACATACTGTCAGAAGAAGCAATTCAAAAGAAATCAAAACAAGAAAATTTAAACTTATTTTAAATTTCCTTGATTTCTATGGAAAAGTTGGAAGATAAAGGTGAGAAACGCCATCAAAAAGTAGAATAACCCTGTGTGAGGGGAGCATCCAGGAAGGGGTGTGGAGCGTGGGGGGTGGGGGTTAAAGACCTGGCTTTGTGCCGCCAGGCTTGTACCATCTACTATTTGGCCCCGGACTGTGGACAGGAGCTGCAGCCACCAGCCAGGCTTCCTGCCTGTGACCATGGACAGTCAAGAGATTTTAACTGGTCTTGTCATTTCTCCTGGCACAGGCTGGTCAAGGACCAATGGCTGAGAGCAACCAAACACAGGGTTCAGTCATGAATGGGTTTTTGCAACAATTGCAACTAGGTCATCAGTCGCTGGTTTCCTAGGGCAGCCCCTCCATGTAAATTGCTTACTGCACAGGTTCGCCCTTCCAGGTCTTACAATCCAAAGCTCTGGATACAGAGCCCAGCAGTATTCAATGGTAATGTGAAAAGCACAATAAAATTTGAAAAGGGTGCCGTGCAAAAAAAAAAAAAGAAAAAGAAAAAGAAGTGGAATTAATCTAGGAGGTCCAACACCAAAACAGAATGAATTCCAAAAACAAAGAAGAGAGGGAAGGACATTATAAAGGAAACTAATGGCCGGTGCATGAAATTTGTGCACATTAAAAGGGAATTAATTAGAGGAAATGTTTTAATATTGCTATTTGGGCCGAAGCCGGTTTGGCTCAATGGTAGAGCGTCGGTCAGTCTGTGGACTGAAGGTTCCCAGGTTCGATTCCAATCAAGGGCATGTACCTTGGTTGCGAGCACATCCCTGGTAGGGGGTGTGCAAGAGGCAGCTGGTTGATGTTTCTCTCTCATTGACGTTTCTAGCTCTCTATCT